TGAAATCAACGAAGAACCCCAGTTGGTATGGAGGCCTGAGCAGCAATCCCCGCTTTACCTGTACGTTGTGCTGCTGCTGCTGCTGCTGCTGCTGCTCCTCTTTCTGCTGCTGCTGCAGCACTATCTATTCTCGCTGCTCCTGCTGCTGCAGCACTCTATTGTTGCTGCTCCTGCTGCTGCAGCACTCCGTTGCGTGTGCCTCCTTCTTTCGCTGTTGTTGCTTCTGTCGGTGCTGCAATTGCTGCTGCAGTTGCTGCTGCAGTTGCTGCTGCAGTTGCCGCTGCAGTTGCTGCTGCTGCAGCAGCAAATTTAAATGGTGTATAGCAGCAACTAACCGGCAGGGCTGATTAGGGGTTCTTCTGAAATATAAATGCGTGCCTCGGGTTTAGGGTTTAGGGTTTATAATCAAGGGTTTAGGGTTTAGGGTTTAGGGTTTAGGGTTTTTGCATGCAGCTCTTTGGGGTGCTGATGGCACCGGGGATATATGCGCCCCAGGAAATATACAAAACGCAGCGCAGACGGTCTTCGACTTCTTGAGGTCAAAGAAGCAGCAGCAGCAGCAGCAGCAGCAGCAGCAGCAGCAGCAGCAGCAGCAGCAGCAGATGGGGTCAGGCAAGACGGAGAAACAGCATACTTTGGGTTCGTCTACGTTCTACAGTTTGCGTTCTACGTTAAAGAGTTGAGGGTTTAGGGTTTAGTGTTTAGGGTTTAGGGTTTAGGGTTTAGGGTTTAGGAATTAGGGTTTAGGGTTTAGGGTTTGTCTGTGAATTTGTTTGTTGCTGCAGAACCTGTGCCGGGGTTTGAAGAGGGCGTCGCTTTGGTTGTAGCAGATGGCGCAATCATCCCGCGTAAACCCTAAACCCTAAACCCTAAACCTTAAACCCTAAACCCTGAGTCCTATACCTTGAGCGTTGAACCCTAAACCCTAAACCCTAAACCCTAAAGGGTAAACCTCACGATCGTGTTGTATTTATTTTTTTTTTTTTATATTCAGCTCACGCAGAGTTGCTGCAGCAATCTGAGGACCTGCAAGAGCTCTTCGCTGGGCGGCTGCTGCTGGCGGAGCTGTTTGCTGCGCTGCAGCTGCTGCAGCAGAACGGACATTTTGTTATTAAACTCTTCGATTGCTTCTCTGTATTCACGGTACAACGGGGTGCTAGACGAGGGTTTAGGGTTTAGGGTTTAGGGTTTAGGGTCTAGGGTCAAGGGTTAGGGTTAGGACAGTTTTGGAGGGTTTAGCAGGGTTTAGGGTTTAGGGTTTAGGGTTTAGGGTTCGAGACCTAGGCTGAGATACACAACCGGCGACGATAGCGTTGAGGGGTCGCGGTTTAGGGTTCAGAGTAAGGCATTGAGGGTTTAGGGTTTAGGGTTTAGGGTTTAGGGTTTGCGGGGGTTTTGTTATGGATCCCCAGGCAAGTCTGGTGTACGCAGTGAGTCGGTTGTTTCGCGGCTGTTTGATAGTGAAACCCTTCAGAAGTCGAGCTGTTAACAGCGAGCGGTAAACCCTAAACCCTAAACCCTAAACCCTAAACCCTAAACCCTAATGTGTTGGCTGTAAATCTCACTCCATAAACCCTAGACCCTCGATTTGTTTGCCCTATTGCTGAGGGTTTACCATAAGGTATTGAGGGTTTGTGTGTTTGTTGTAAGCAAACCCTAAACCCTAAACCCTAAACCCTAAACCCTTGAAACAAAGGTTGTAGTGTATATTATTTGGGGTGTATACGCAGGTACTTGGTGGGGATACACCTGAAAAGCAGAACTTCCAGTTTTTTTTTGTGTTTTTTTCGCGCTGTTGCTGCAATGCATCGGCTGTATGAACAGAACGCAGTACCACAACTCCACTTGCCGCATTCTCTTCTCCCCCACCAAATTTTCCTCCACGGTCAACACAAACCCTAAACCCTAAACCCTAAACCCTAAACCCTAAACCCTAAACCCTAAACCTCAAAATCTACTCCCTGGGGAGCACCGATACACCGGAGGTTACGCAAACGGCGCAGCAGGCGTATTTCAAGTGTCAAGCTTCGCTCCAACAAACCCTAAACCCTAAACCCTAATTCCTAAACCCTAAACCCTAAACCCTAAACCCTCGAACTTGCGCGCAGATGTACCCTTTATGAAGCGCCTGGTTGAGGCGTCAACTTTTCTCTGCGAAAGGCAAATTGTGGCGCTTTCTATGGTACTCTCCAAGGTGACCATACACACAAACCCTAAACCCTAAACCCTAAACCCTAAACCCTAAACCCTAAACCCTAGATTCTAAACCCTCTATTTTTTTTTCGTGGGCAGATTGTGAAGAGGATGTTTTCTTTTTTTGGGGTTTCGGGTTTTGTTTCAGGTCGAAGAGCTGCAGCAGCGACGAAAAGAGAAGAATCGCCGGCCCAACCAGCAGCAGCAGCAGCAGCAGCAGCAGCAGCAGCAGCAGCAGCAGCAGCAGCAGCAGCAGCAGCAGCAGCAGCATAACTACAACTATAGCAGCAGCAGCAGCAGCAACAGCAGCAGCTTTCGTTCTCGGGCCCAGCCTCTAGAGAATACCCTGGAGCAGCTGAGGCTTCACCGCGTCCCCAGCAGCAGCAGCAGCAGCAGCAGCAGCAGCAGCAGCATCACCAGCTCAACGCCAACAGCAGTAACGAAGGCAAGTAGGTCTCTTCAACAGCGACAAAAGCAGCCGCAGCAGCAGCAGCAGAAGCAGCAGCACCAGCAGAAGCAGCAGCAGCAGCAGCAACTGAAGCAGCTGCAGCAGCAGCAACAGCTCATGGGAGCGCACTCACCGCTGGACAGGAGCAGGCAACCCCGCACCTTCAGCACCACAAGCAGCAGCAGCAGCAGCAGCAGCAGCAGCAACGCTTACTGCATACCTGATGGACAGCAGCAACTGTGGCAACAGCAGCAACAAAAGAGAAACAAGGAGGAGCTGCTGCAGCAGCAGCTACGGCAGCTCGAGCAGCAGCTGCAGCAGCAAAGAGAGGATCAGAAGAAGCAGCAGGAGCTGCAGCTGCAGCTGCAGCTCATGCAGATGCAGCAGCTGCAGCTGCTGCAGATGCACAGACAGATTGCACCCGTCAACCCAGCAGCATTGCAGCAGCAGTTGCTGCTGCAGCAGCAGCTGCAGCAGCAGCAGCAGATGCTGCAGTTGCTCAAACACCAACAGCAACAACCGACCCTTGCAGCCGTGCAGCAGCAGAACCAACAAATGCAGCAGCTTCTGCAGCAGCAACAGCAGCAACAGCAGCAGCTGCATGGCACATCATTGGCACAGCAGCAGCAGCTGCTGCTGCAGCAGCTGCAGCAGCAACGACAGCAGCAGCAGCATCAAGGAGCTAAGCAGCGAAGAGAGCCACCGCTTTCTGCTGGACTGCTGGGAATGGCTGCACCTTGCGATGCAGCAGCAGCAGCAGCAGCAGCAGCAGCAGCAGCAGCAGCACCGAGTGCAGCAGGAGACGCAGCAGCAGCAATTTCGGACGTTTCTGCTGTCACTGCAGCATTGATCAAAACAAAGCAGCAGCAAAAGCAGCAGCAACTGCTGCTGGACCAGCAGCAGCAGCAGCTGCTGCTTCTGCACCACAGGGCGCAGCAGAATGCTGCAGCATCAGCAGCAGCAGGTCAAGAGAACCATCAGCAGCAGCAGCAGGAATACCAGCAGCACCGAGCGGAGCACCAGCAGCAGCTGCTGCTGCTGCAGCAGGAGAGAGACAAACTTGCACTGCAGCAGCAGCAGCTGGAGGCGCTGCAGCAGCAACTGCTGAAGGCCGCCTCGCTAAAACACCAGTTGCAGCAAGAAGAGCAGCAGCAGCAGTAGCAGCAGCGCAGCTAACCCCTGCCACTCAACAGTGCGCAGGAACTAAACTATTCAATATTTTAGGGTTTAGGGTTTAGGGTTTAGGGTTTAGGGTTTAGGGTTTAGCGCATGCAGAGAACAGCATTAGGAGCTAGAGAGAAAAAGAAATGCCAAATACAAATCTTAATTAATATCTCTGACTAGCGTACAGTGCAGATACACCCTGAGGTGTACAGGCACCTCAACGACACCCCGTAGGCCTTAACCCATAGGATACAGGGTTTAGGGTTTAGGGTTTAGGGTTTAGGGTTTAGGGTTTAGCCTACAGGAGGAGAAGACACAGGGGCCCCCAACCCGCGAGGTGTACAGACAGCTGGCGTGGGGGCAAATATATAATTCCTGTATTTGTATCTATTCATATATATAATAAATAATATATTTATATATAATATACTATTGAGTAATATAATATATCTAATATATTATTTTATATAATATAATATTTAATTATAATAATATATTTAATATATGCAA